TGAACCCACAGGAGGGCAGAGCGTCAGGTGGGAGCCATGTGGCAAAGGCCATGGGGTCCTGGCAGTGGCCGTCCTCAGGAAAGAGAATCAGGGACCCCCGTGAGCGATGGAAATGGTGATAAATCCAACGTTGACACGTCAGAGCACTGGCCGTGGGCCCCACGGGAGGGAGAATCGTGAGTGTTCACGAGATAGAAGGTGGCCAGTGGCCGTTTACGGAGAAGGTTCCATTTCTGGGCGAGGGACAGATGTCTCTCAGAGTCTTGACGGTAAGTGAAAGACAGAGGCAGGGTCCTGTGGGGGGAGATGGAATTCACAGAATCAGGAGAGACTCCAACCCCTCTCACCTCCCTTGCCACCAGAGCAGTGGCACCCTGCAGCTCACTGTGCGGCAGAACCGAGGACCTCTGCCAGCCACACAGCCCTTGCCCTGCCCGCAGAGCGCCACCTGTTCCTGCAGGGAGAGAGTAAAACCTTTCAAAATGAGCAGAAGAAGGGACACAACATGAATCGTAGCTGACTGAAAATTCTTAACCCTAAGGCAGAAAACTAACAATGTTCAGTCTGAAATAAATAGGGCTCTGCAGAAATAATTAATACTCGAAGTTGGAAATGCAAAATCTCAGAACACGGCTGGTTAGGTCACTTGGTTAGAGTGTGGTGCTGATGACACCAGAGTCAAGGGTTTGGATCCCCACAGCAGCCAGCCGCCACACAAAAATGAAACAGGAAAACGGAATGAACATGAACCAAAAGAAACCCTCAGGAAGTTGAGAAACAAGGGTTGATGTAACTCAGCAAAGAAATTGAAAAAGACAGGCAGGCCAGTTGGCTCGAGCTGGAGCACAGTGTTATGACACCAAGGTCAAAGGGTTTGGATCCCCGTACTGGCCAGTCACCAAAAATTGAAAAAGACAAAGTTATCTCAAGGTGCTCAAGGAAGATAGATTCTAGTGGAAATATAACAAAGGGCATGGGGTGGGGGGAAGCAGCCGCGAGAACATAGCAGGACAGTCACAGAGGGTTGGAAGGAAGGACGGACACACGGATGCATGTGCATGTGCCTCGTGACATGCTTACACAGTGAGATCCCCCGTAGCACTGAGACTGCACAGTCTGCAGGTGCAACGACCTGGACGACTCACGTGCGGAGAAGCCCGACTCTGCCCTCCACAGCGGATCCCGTGCGGGTGGCTGGTCGAATGTTCGGTGTTGAGTGCACCTGAGCAAGTAAACGTGGGTCCCTCTTGCTTTATAAATGAAACGATTTGTGTGTCTGTCTCTGTGTATACACGAGTTTATATTTAATCTGTTGCATTACTTCAAATAAAAAGAATCCTACGGAGAATGTTTTGTAAAACAAAAGACAAATACCCTCCCCTGTCAGTCCAGATGTTCATATATTTAATTTGCAAGGGATATTTATAACCTGGGAATGAGTTGGATCTTAAGAGTATTCTTGCTTGAAAATACACCTAAACTTTGATTCTTCAGAGAGGTATGGAAAAGAGTCAGTGTGCACTATGGTGTTTTTTGCAAAGGTGCATGACCACAGAACCCGAGAAACGCCTAGACACCAACACTCTAAAAGGTACCTGTGTGTGTGCTTTACCGGACCTCTGCGGTAGGGCCAAAGGACGTAACTTATGTCCTAGGAGGCTTTCAGACCAATCTCGACAAGCCAGAGCAAAGAGAAAGGTTAGACATATTTGAAGAAAGTAATAAAGGTTCGTGAACAGTAGAAAAGCACAGGTCTTGCTTTGTCTGGAATAATTCCTGTTGAGCACGGCTCTGCCACATCTGGGTACCAGTGTGTTGGTACCAGTGTGTTTGTTGCGTTGGGAGACTGTTAGGTTAGTACAGGGTGCAAGGTGAAGGGAGGTTCCAGAGCCCAGATGGTCGGTCCGTGTTGTCTGAACAAGCACACAGTGTCGGCCTGCTGTGTCCCCTCGCAGGACCGCAACCACGACCTTTTTCTGTTCCCTGAACCCCACCTGGCAGCCCGCGTCCCTGGGTTGTCTGCAGGGTTCTTAGGCACGTGCCTTTGCTGTGCCTGGAGTTCACTCACCGGGAGCGCCACCTGGTGTCCAGGGAGCGAACGGCAGGTCTGGGGGCAGCGTTAGCCCCAGCACCGAAGCCACAAGCAAGCTGCTCCCTTCTGCACTGCGGTGTACAGCGCGGTGACCTCAGCCGTGACAAGGTTCCAGAACAGCTAGGAAGATCCTCAGGTCCTTTCATTTCAAAAGACAGGTGATGAACCGTGTAATCATACAACTCCTAACACTAATGGAATATTAGAGAAAGCAAAGCTGGAGCTGATCTCATCGCCTCTTTTTCTGCTACTTCCAGACCCCTAGTCACTTCAGCCCGCGATGGCAATCGTCACGTTAGCTTCACGTCATCCAGCGAGCATGCTCATAGTCAGCAGCCACGACACATGAACATCGACAAGGAGAAGGAAACCACTGGGAAGGGTAAGTACCAGGATCAGGGCAGCCTAAGCATTTCATCACCAGCTGCTTCACCCTGACATTGCGACTTCACTTCGAAATCCTACAAGCTCTGGAAAAAGTGGCATCTCAGAGCCTCGGGACAGTGGACTATGAGTTTTCTGTTATGGTATTTTCCCATCGACCTTAGAGTTTCCAGTTAGGATATGCATTTACAGTCTACAAAAGCAAAACACAGCTTTCTAGTTAGAGTTAGTACTGCTAGGTAATGAGTAACCCTGATTTTAAAAACACTGAGTTTTTACAGAAATAGAGTCTACGCCCCATCTCTCCACAACAGGGAGTAACAGCATTTAAAGGTTGAACCAGGTGCTGAGAACACCAAGGCCAGGGGTCGGGATCCCCTTACCAGGCAGCTGCCAAACACCAAAAAGGCTGAACCAGAATGACCAGCTCTGCTATTAAGGTAGGAAGTTTGCTTAAAAGAGGAAAGTCTAAACAGAAAAACCCCAGAAAACTATTCCTTTGATATGAACGACTTGGATTTAGGGGGGTAACAATTCATAGCGTGCAAACTTCCTCAAAATTAACAGATTAAGCAACGGCTTAATTTCAAGTTAATTTCCATTTTCTTGCCTGCGAACAGCTATCTCCGTCTTCCCCCTAGAACCTGACCCAGGGCCTGTCTTTCCCGCCTGCGTGTTTCTCACTCCCCCTTCCCCTGTCCCTGTCCTGCCCTTCGTCCTCCCGCCTATGCTGCCCCCAGAGCCCATCAAAAACACTTCTCAACATGTCCTTGACTGCTTGTAAGCCTTTCCGGGCCCGGCCTGCATCAACAGACACCAAGCACTACATGAACTGGACAGGAAGTGGAGAACTAGACATGGTGCCTGCCCACCCGCTACTCACCTGTCCCCTCCGCGGTCCTCTGCCTGCTTGGCTGTGCCTGTCTCCTCTGCGGGCCTCTCCCTGCTCGGCTGTACCTGTCTCCTCTGCAGTCCTCTGCCTGCTCAGCTGCGCCTGTCCCCTCTGCGGGCCTCTCCCTGCTCGGCTGTACCTGTCCCCTCTGCAGTCCTCCGCCTGCTCGACTGCGCCTGTCCCCTCTGTGGTCCTCTCCCTCGCCATCCGCCCTTCATGTTTGACTCTCTTCCTGTGGAGCAGTGTGTAAGTCCCCACTAGAATGTGCCAGCCCATTCCATGCCTTCGTGTTTTCTTCTCTTGGCAAAGCCCTTTCCTCCCTGTTTTTTTTTTTTTTCCTTTTTGTCTTTTTTCGTGTCCGGCAACAGATTGCAACCCTCAGTGTCGCGCCCGTACCGGACCGGGACCGGCAACGGGATCGCAACCCTCGGTGTTGCTCCCACACCTCGCTCAGCCAGTGAGCGGAAACCGGTCTGTATGTGGGATCTGAACCCTGGTGGGAGCGCCGCCGCACTCCCAAGCGACGCACTGTAGCAGTGCGCCACTGGGCCGGCCCTCCTCCCTGTTTTAACCAGGCTACTCAGCTCATCCTAGAAGACTCTACTTGGATGTTTCCTCCAAGAAACTTTCCCTAAGTCCTGGCTGGGCTCATTGTCCTTCCTGAAGGTTTCCCCCAGCACCTGGCAGAACCCCTGTCCCAGCACATCCCACACTTTGTCGAGACTAGTGTGCTTTTGTCTCACTCCCCAAAGAGGCTGTAGAGCTCCTCGAGGACAGGGACATCTTTTCACTTCATAGCCCCAGAACTTTGTGCAGTTTTGGCTTTGCCCATAACTGGTTAGAGTGACTTAGGGAAAATGATCCTGTATGAAAGCATAACTGCACATGCTCAACAAAACACACATTTACCGTTATTTATCTATAAATATTTATTAAGCGCTTTCTAACATCATGCTTTGAGAAATACTAAAACGTGAACATTCAACCAGACAAGCTAAAATGAAAAAGACTCATAACAGCGTTAAAAATCCTCAGCCACTGGAACTGAGGCGGTGCTGCCAGGAGCGTAGCTGGCCGTCCTCACCAAAGCCAGACGTCAGCACCTCCTAAAGCTAACAGCCAGACGTGAGCATGGCCCGTGACCTAGCAGTCCACTCCCGGGCTCATACCTGACAGAAGAATGTTCTCAGTAGCATTATTCATAAAAGCCTCACAGTGGGAATATTTCAGATGTCTGTGAGTATTTGAATGGATGAAAGAATCCTGGTACATTTAGTAAATAGTACAGAGCAATGAAAAGGAACTTCTGCTGCACATGGCAACAAACACACTGATTTATGAAGTTCAAAACCAGGCTAACGTGTGTTGAGAGGTGAGAACGTTGAGTGGTGACGTCTGGGGGTGGTGGGGTGGTGCGTGCTGACGCAGCAGCACCCTGCAGAAGCCTTCCGGGCAATGGAGACGTTCTCCGGATCTGGGTAGGAGCCACACAGGTGAATGCTACGTCAAAGTTTACTCAGCTGCACACTTAAGATCTGTGCACTTTCCCTGTACGAGTCATCCTGCAACAACGTTAAGGAAAAAGCAAGCTTGTGAACAGCTGAGGTCTGGGGAATCCACCAGCAGGCCGGAGGTGCAGCATGAGACGAAAATAAACTGGGAGAAGGGTCTCCGTCCCTTTGCTGTAATGTGCAAGATAATGTCTTTAAAAAGAAATCTATTTTACGTGCACGAGTGGTGTTCCTTTTACTGTCATGGCTTCTACTTTGGATTAAGGTTCCTAACACTGTTTCCAGGTAACGTTCCACTGTCATGTAAGCTGGGCAACTTTGCGACGTCACACAATACCGATTACTTCTCTGCACTGAGTTTCAGCCACTCACTCTGCTGAATTTTGAGGAAACAGCTAAACTCAGTATAAACCTGGCCTGCAGAATTACAGTGGCTCTTTGACACCAGTAATATTCCGAAAGAAATTTAATTACTTCACTTTAGTCCTTGTCTACTTTAACCTAAAATCTGCTACCTTCCAGTAAAGGTGAAGCAGAGAAATAAAACTCTTTAAAATATAGAAAATGTATTTCCTGTTAAGATTCTGCAAAAACAACAAAAAAACCACAGAAAAAAACCCTTGAATACCCTAAAATAACTAATATACTCAATATACTTAGTATTACATTTGGATTTTCCGTATGTCTGACACTGGGAAGTTAGTATCAGTTCAGGGAGTGAGTTTTGATATTATTAATAAAAGAATGTTCCATGTGACCGAACACCTGCCAGGACTCCTCACAGGAACGTTTTGAGGAGAGCCCACAAATGACAGATGAACAGACTTAAACCCCGTTAAGAGCAGGAAAGAGCAAGAGTCTCTGAAAACTCCACACATACTCAGGCAGAACAAACTGGGCTACAGCGCATCAGGCAAGAGCGGAAAAGCACCCTGAGACAGAAGACGTTTTTGAGCGGCTGTCACGGCACAGCAGTGGGGGACACGGGTGGCACGGGAGACTCTGTCCTGCCTCAGAGACCGTTTCAGCTGTTGACTTTGATGACACCACGTTCAAGGCACCAGTCCAGGTGCTCATTAACGTGAGACTCGGGCACTTGGTTCTGACAGACTGGACACCGGACCAGCTTCCGGGGACGGGGTGGGCTGCCGGGCTGCTGGGCAGGACGTGCGCTGCACTGGGGGCCATCACTGCCACTCTGTATTTGCTCTTTCTCGATAAAAAAATTGTCAAGGACAGTCTTGTCCTCTAGCCTGGGCCGTTTCCTTGGGAGTTTACCCTCAGCCCCACCCTTGTGCTGGGATGTGGTCAAAGACGTCAATTCTGCTGCTTTTAGGGAATTCCTCAGGGATGTCTTAGAAGACGTAGCCCTTCTCTGAGCACTAGAAGCGACTGAACTTTTAGCGACATCACTAGCTGCTAAGCTTTTCACTGGAGAGCCGTCCACACTTTGGAGAGCCTTCTGGTTGGCAGCCGACGCTCTAGGAAAGTAGTTGCTTAGAACATTCTGGTGACTGGCATTAGGAACAGGTGAGGCTGGATGCCAAGTTTTTTTACTTGAACCATTCTGTTCGAACTTCACCTCAATTTTAGAATTAGGTCTTAGGGCATTTGCTGAATGGTCCCGACTTAAAAGGTCTTGGGTTTTACTAGCGGCGTGTGAGGTGACCCGTCTCCCAGCTGAAGACGAACTGCTGGTTTCTCTTAGGACGTGCCCTTTCCCACTAAAAGGGGTCCACGGCTGTTTGTCTGCAAAAGAAGCAGATAAGATTTTCTCTCAATTCAAAATGAATGAACAAATATTAAGCTAACAGATAATTTTCTTTAAATGAAGAAATAGTATTTTATTCTAACTTGGATTAACATTAACAATTTCCTGTCATTGGGAGGACAGTCTTCAAAGTCAGAGCTCTGGTACTGAGAGAACATAAAGGTAAAAAAAGTTCTCTCCTATGTAAAGTCAGAGACCAATAACAAAACAAAAATCTACCGCCTCATTCCTACCTTTCCTCTTACAAAAATGAGGATACTCTCTCCACGTAAATTCCTCTATAGCTCCCGACTTACCGGACATCTCAGATTTACGTATAAATATAAACACAGCTTATGTTCCTGGGTCCCACTGCATCAACTCAACAGCCTCGGTAACGTGGTGACCCACGCGAAAGGCGGTCGCCGTACACCGCACGGGAAAGGGGTAGAGGGTGAAGACAGGTGCCGTGAGCACGTGTCGCGCCCTGCCCTTCTGCCAGCGCACACACGTACATCGACAAGGTCACCTGGACAGAATCCAGCTGGTAGGAGCGGTGCTGGCAGGACTCACGTCCGGGCACTGTTGTCTGAGTCACCGTTTTTATTCTGACAGTCCTTCTGCCTCTGTTTCCCAGTAATTCAGTGAGTCAAGACAGGGAAGGGCTTTACCTCGAGTGTTATCAGCGGAAACTCACTCACTCCAGGGTCAAGTACAGTGTATTTTCCTACCATCATTGCATGGACAACGCGATTTTTTCTTAATTCCACACTTGAAAACCACACACTAGAAACAACCCTTAAGCTCATCCCAAAGCCAGTTCTCTAGAGACCAGCACCGCCTTGTCGCTGCAGCACTGATCACGGGACCGCTGCCCGCGTGCGGGTACCTTGATTCTCCACTGCTGATAACGGGGCTGCTCCCGGCCTAGTCTTTCCTTTGCCCTTCTTTGAGTAGTTCTCCGGCTCCTTAATTTTGATGTAGGTCCCTCCACAGGTTTTCTGGTGCTCAGGCCACCAGAAGTCGTGAGCAGAAGGTGCCCTGTTGGTGGCACGTTTGACATAGCCGTAGTAGGGTGGTTTGTGCTGGCACGGCCCGTTGCAGCGCCACCAGTGTCGCCGGTACTGGTCCACCTCATCGTGGAAAGTGTGGTACACCTGGTGAAGAGAGGACTTCCAGCACTTAGACAGCAGGTTAATTTTTTTTTTTACAACATTATTCTTATATAATCAACAATACTGCACATAAGTTTAAAATTTTAAGAAAATATATAAGCAGCTTTTAAAAAAATACTTTCCGTTTCCCAGACCTTTCTGAGAAGTTCTATTTTGGGAAACACAGCAGCCATATTTAGTCTCTGTTCAAAAGACCATTTTAATGGGAAACAGCAGCGGTTAATGCTTCCTAAATGTGTAAGAGACAGAAACATGTAAGATTAGAAAGCAAAGAAAGTTAAAAAACAACCTCTAAGAATGCTAAGTTTCAGAAACCAAATTCTAAAGTGATCAAAAATTAGGACAAAGATTTTGTATAAGACCATAACAAGAACCATTCCCACTGCTACACTGGAATTTCCCTGTAACAACACCGAGGGGTTCTGAAAGACTAAACCATTCCCTGTAAATGCCTGACCCTAACACCACGAGCGTGTGACCGATGGAGCCTCTGCTGAGCCCCCTCCACGTGCTCGAACCTCTTTACTCACGTCTCCGTGATAAGCCTGGTGGGCAACACTTTATCTGTTTGTGCGTGTGTTTCTCTTCCCAGACTGAGAAGTTCTTCCGGACTGAGGTGTTTTCATTTTGGGGTCACTACTGGCTAATTCAGTGCTTGGCACAGGGAAGCTGCTTAGTGAAGTATTTGTCATTGAGTGAAACGTGTCATTCATTAAGTCAAATGAAATTCTCTGTAACTGTGCAGGATGCTTTTCACCCTGTGGATGAAAACTTACTTGGAAACTAAGCAGGAGACACATAAAGGAAAAGTTCTGACAAGAGGGTGGCCCTGCCAGCAGTGTGGCGCCGAGCCTTGCAGCGTGCACTCAAAAGTCACTCCTTAAATTACTCTGTACACCATCGTCAGTCTTCTTAAGGGGAACATTATTATTTGTATAAGAATAAGGGGCATCTGTGACTTTGTTTTTACCAAGGACATTTAACTTTCTACTATACTCCCCTCGGGAAGCATGCTAAGCTTTCTATAACTCCCTAGACAGCTTTATTCTCTCTCTCCACCTAAGCATTTGTATTTGTCAAGCATACAAACAATGCACACTATATTAGATGCAGAAGGAACTGAAGGATGTAGGTTTTAGGCAAAGAAGTCTGTGAACCTCTGCCCTCTACTGCATTCAGAGCTCTCCACTTAATAATTCACTAGCAAATAAGACAGAGGATTGGATTTGTTTTGCTTTCAATTCCTGTAACTCCTACAGCCTGGGAATGTGACTTAACAACAGTCACTAACGTAAAATTTCTCTCCAGCGAGAAAGGAGATACGCTGTGGAGTTCGTTATAACAGGATGTAACCTGCAAAAGCAAGGGTGTTCGCTCTGTAAAACCTCTCCTAAATAAAAACACAGACATCCCAGATGAAAGAATCTGTCCTCCTCCCCTGAACAACGGGAAGACACCCTTGCTTTGCCAAAAGTGTAATTTCTGGTGAAGTAACTAAAAGCCTTTCTTACCAGCAACTCCCTAATTCCTTCACTAGTCTGGATTTTATGTCTGATTTTTTTTTTTTTTTTAAAGATGACTAGTAAGGGGATCTCAACCCTTGACTTGGTGTTGTCAGCACCACACTCAGCCAGTGAGCGAACCGGCCATCCCTATATGGGATCTGAACCCATGGCCTTGGTGTTGTCAGCACCGCACTCTCCTGAGTGAGCCACGGGCCGGCCCTATGTCTGACTTTTTAAATTTAATTTATCTATTTCTGGTGGCTGGCTGGAGTGGGCATCCGAACCCTTGACCTTGGTGTTACAACACTGCGCTCTAACTAACTGAGTCCAGCCAGCCCATCTGACTTTTTTTAAATGCAAGCCACTTTCCTATTGTTGAAGTTACTCTACATCCGATAGGTCATCAGACAATGAAAACCGATGGGTAGAAAGAACAACAGTGGGGCCGGCCCGTGGCTCACTCGGGAGAGTGCGGTGCTGATAACACCAAGGCCCCGGGTTCGGATCCCATATAGGGATGGCCGGTTCGCTCACTGGCTGAGCGTGGTGCTGACAACACCAAGTCAAGGGTTAAGATCCCCTTACCGGTCATCTTTAAAAAAAAAAAAAAAAAAAAAGAACAACAGTGAACGGTGAGCACTTTCCATTTTACATCAGACTGGCCTTTGTTGCCTTTTAGAGGAAAGAAACGCCCAGACATATGAAGGAATTTAATCTGTGTAGGAATGAACGTTCTATTTGGTTCAATTCCACTCAGCATTTGTCCCGCCCGTGTGAAGGCGCTACGGGATGCATCGTATACATGTGCAGTAAAGACAGGAAGAGCTGCTGTATGCAGAGCTCTGAAGGCAGAATAAGAGACTGTGAAAGGTTAAAGATCCGCTCAGAGGATTCAAAGCAGGGAGAAGCCTCACCGGTGGGCAGATGAAGGGCACTGAGACCTGGGAGTGCACTTCAGGGAGGGTGTGCGAGGACAGGGAGGCGGCAGAAAGTTCAGGTGAACAGAAACACGGGACACAGCAGGGACGTGGGAGGTAAGAAAAAAGGAACCAAAGTGAATTACTTAGTGCTCAAACTGTGCTAAAATGTTTTGCATGTGTTTTCTCCTTAATCCTTCCTCCTCACAAGAATCCAACAGGCTGGTACGGTCGTCACTCCACTGGCCATGGGAGTGAAGCGAGGCCCAGAGGAGGGAGGCAGGTCACACAGCTGACACTCGGTGGGGCCTGGGTCTGAGTAGTCTGATGCCTCGTGCTTTTTTTTAACCCCAGGCACCGCCACTTCCTGCAACACTACGCAGAGACATCAATCAAAGACGACCCGATGATGGCAGTGACAGACAAACTGGCAGCAGATGGTGCTGTGCATGAATGACAGCCCCCCAAACACACTGAAGCTTAACATGTCCCCTAAAGGTCCACCTATTGGAAGCGTGGTCCCTCTGTGACAGTGTGAAGAGGGTGGGAAATCCTACTATGGTCTTTATAAGGTGGGGCATTGGGGAGGTGACTGGATTGTGGCGACTGCACCCTCGTGAACGGGTGGACCCGTTCCTGGAATAGTGGGTGTGGTTCTGAGGGCTTTAAAAGGAGAGTGTTTGGGGAGCTGTCTCTCTGCTCTGCCATTCTGCCACGACAGACCCCTGCACCAGCTGTGTCCCCTGGACTGTGGACTTCCCAGCCTCTGAAACTGTGAGCAATAAATTTCGTTTTCTTATAAATTACCCAGTTTCAGGTATTTTGTCATAAGCAACAGCAATAGACTAATACGGCTGGGTTGAAGAAGGAAACTACAACAAGAGAACAGAGTTAGACGACCTTGTAAGAGTCCGGAAGAGCAGCACTGCAGGCCTGAGTTAACTATGCATAACACGTGGACCCAGAAGAGGTCAGAGGCCTCAGGGACACTGCCGTCCCTGCTGCTGTCCCGCTGTGCGGTCCTGGAGAAGCCAGAGAGCTTCTGCTCTAGGCCTTTCGTTCCCTGCTGAAAATCCATCCTCACAGATAATATCTGTTTCTACCTAGTTGTCTATTTTTTAATTAAATCTCAGACGTACAGAATAAGTAACTATCAAATGTCATAAGTGCGCAGCTTTACACACCGTTATGTTGGCTCCAGTCAGGCGGTTGATGCGATACATGTGTTTACAGAACTCTGGACCGTGCCCTTCCCGGTCCTTGTCATTGTTAGTGACAAATAAATATGCGTGTATCATTTCATGCAAGAGGGTCTGAAACAGAAAACAATCAAATTAATACGTTACGGCGCTTTTCAAAATAAAAATGCATTTTCTGACTCTACTGAGTTCGTAACCTTCTCTGAGTCATGGGCTTCTTTCAGAGACTGAAAAAGTCATGAACCACCTCTCCAGGAAATCCATGTCAGCACAGTCACAAAAGTGCACTTGTATCAGCAGCAAGCAGGCGAAGGTCATGGAGTTCACAGGACAGTAAGTGACCCACGAACTTGAAAAAATGCTCAGCCCCATTTATAAAAAGAGAAATGCAAATTAATACTACAGTAGGGTACTACTTTTTGCTTATCAAGGTGTGAGAATCTCCTAAAGTTTGTCACCGTTAGTAGATCTGAGAGAAAATGTCCCCATGTGCTGCTGGTGAGAGTGCAGAACGCTGCGGCTGCCATGGGGAGGGGGTCTGGCGCATCTACCGGGACTGCAGACGTTCACCCTGTGAGCTGGCGACGCGGGCACCAGCACAGGTCACGTGCACAAGCCATGCTCACTGTGGCACTGCTTACACTGACAAAAGATTGGACGTAACTCACGTGTTTAGCCATGGGGGCCCGTGTGAACGTACTATGGTACATCCACATAATGGAATTCTATGTGGCCATGAAAAGAATGAAACAGATCTCTATGAAATGATTCAGAAAAGGCTACAGAGTGTATTATTTTAATGAGAAAGACAGAACAGAAGAGTGTACATAGCATTTTGTGAGAAACATGTCATGAGGTGGGGAGGGGAATAAAAGTGCATATATATATATTTGCCAAAAAACCAACAAAATAATAAAAAATGAATCATAGTTTCTATAGTAGGTGGGGAGTTCAGGATAGAGAGGGAGAGATGGAGAACAAGACGTTTTTGTACACAGTAGCTCTCTATAGTTTTGAGGTTCTGAATCATGTAAATTTTAAAACAAACAAAAATAAAACCTACTGTTCACACCAAAGATGCAGAAGTTTATGTGCAAAATTAACAAAAGCATTTAAGGTTGCTGGGTTTTTCTGTCCTAGAAAATAATACTTTTTAAAAAGTGAAAATCATAAAGATCTTCAAATGCATACCTTCTTCATAATCCTCCATTAAGTTTTTTTTTTGTCTTTCTTGTGACCGGTAAGGGGATCGCAACCCTTGGTGTGGTGTCGCCCACACCACGCTCAGCCAGTCAGCGCATCGGCCATTCCTATATAGGATCCGAACCCATGGCGGGAGCGTCGCTGCGCTCCCAGCGCCGCACTCTCCCGAGCGCGCCACAGGGCCGGCCCCATAATTCTATTTTTTTTTAAAAAGATGACCGGTAAGGGGATCTCAACCCTTGACTTGGTGTTGTCAGCACCACGCTCAGCCAGTGAGCGAACCGGCCATCCCTATATGGGATCCGAACCCGTGGCCTTGGTGTTATCAGCACCACACTCTCCCGAGTGAGCCACGGGCCAGCCCGGCCCCATAATTTTTTAAGAAAGAATTTCCGCCAGAAGAACTAGACTGGCATTAATGAATTATAATTAATAAATTATAAAATTATGCTGAACAGAAAAAAAGGAGAATCAAACATTTTAACTTGGTCTTTATGAAAATGTCCCTTTTAAATTGATCAGGGGCCGGCCTGTGGCTCACTCGGTAGAGTGCGGTGCTGGTAACACCAAGGCCACGGGTTCGGATCCCATATAGGGATGGCCGGTTCGCTCACTGGCTGAGCGTGGTGCTGACAACACCAAGCCAGAAAGTCAACAAGCAAAATGCCTTCAGCTTTCCAGAGAACTGCTGCCATGACCTTTTCACTTGATCGGTCTGCTTTTCCTTTGACTGGACCACTTCCACCTCTTGGTAACCACAGTTTTTTGACTGTGCTTTGTCTTCAGGATGGTACTGGTAAAGCCATGTTTCATCTCCTGTTACAATTCTTCCAAGAAATGCTTCAGAATCTTGATCCCACTTGTTTAAAATTTCTATTGAACTGGAACCCCCTCCCACAACCAGGCACACAGCACCAGTGCCTAGGGGCCCGCCCCGCCCAGGGAACTGAGGCATGGAGAAGGGGACTGGACCTCCCCCATCCCACAACTGCCTGCCTGGGAACCTGAGGTATGGATTCGGGGACCCGACACTCCTCTCAACCAGGCATACCACCAGCACCACAGAGTATGCCAAAAACATCACTTCCACGTGGGTGGCCCACCACAGCCACCACAATAACCATGGCTGCCATGAAAGCAGCTAGATGCCACACTACCACACAGATGGTCTGCCAGCCACTGGAGTGCACTGACACAAGGAGAGTCACCAGCAGAGATAAAGAAAAGAACAGGATGTCTCTCTCCACAAACCCCATTTCAGAGTGACAGAAGCAGCATCTGCTCTATGATAATTTTGGGGGACCTGACTACACCTCTCAGCATTGGACAGATCACCTAGGCAAGAAATCAACAGAGTAACCATTACTCTTTCAGAAGAAGAGAAGAAATTTAGGGTGATTAGAGCGGGGAGGGGGAGAGAAGGCACAAGGGGCATAAAGAATAGTTACGATTTATAACAGTATATATGCTAATATTGATTTGATCAACATATCTCAATGTTGAACCCCTGAAATATGTATAATCAATTTTGATTCAATAAAAATTTTTAAAATAAAACAAACAAATAAATAAATAAATAAATAAAATTTCCATTCTCTGCTCTTGTCTGCAGCTGATCTGGGTGAAAAGTTTGGGTACCCATTAAGCAGAAAATTTGTTCAACTGCAATTTTTCCATTATTCTGCTCTTGTCTGCAGCTGGGTGAAAAGTTTGGGTACCCATTAAGCAGAAAATTTGTTCAACTGCAATTTTTCCATTAAAATTGTGTAAGCTGAGCCAATTGAGATGTCTATAGCGTTGGCGATTGTTTCTGCTGTTAACTGTCTGCCTTCTTCAATTAGGGCAAAAACAAGATTGATTTTTCCTCGCAAGCTGACGTGGATGATCTGCCACTGTGGCATCATCTGGTCACTTCCTAAAACAAATTATCCATTTATAAACTGATTTCTTTGGGGCACTGTCCCCACGAACTTTTACTAAAGCATCAATGACTTCACCATTCTTCCACCTAAGCTTTACCATCAATTTGGTGTTTGTTCTTGCTTCAACTTTAGCAGAATTCATGTTGCCCTAACAGGGGCTCTTTTCAAACTGATGTCTTACCCTTCTTAGTGTCTCAAACTAGATCCTGTTCACACATGTTGTAATAAGTTAGTATGAGCTTATTGTGGTGCAAAAAGTTTTGGAATCCATGCATCGTTTTTTCACAATATGCATTTTCCATGAAATTTCTGAAGACCCCTCATATGTGTCTTTACTGTAAACATGTCTCTTTTAATCTAGTATGTTATTCCCTGTCTTTAATTGGAGTGTACAGTCCACTTACCTGTAATATAATTACTGCTGTTGTGCTCACACCTACCTTTCTTTTTATGCATGTCATCTGGGCTTTGTTCTTTACCTTCTCTTTTATCAATCAAGTATTTCTACTGTACCATTTCATCTTCAGTAGCTACTTACTTCTTTAAAAGTCGTGTAAAACACTCATAAAATTTACCATCTTAACCACACTTCAATAGTGTTAAGTATATTCCTGTTGCTGTGAAACCCATTACCTTTTACCATCCTTTAGAGCAGCATCCCTCATATTTCCAAGCATGTTTTAACATATTTCTCACCCTGTGCTCTTGTGTGCAGATTTTTCAAGTGACATAATTGGAGCAGAACAAGTCACAGTTAATGCATCTTGGGGAATTTCAGGCAGTAAGCTGGGAGGTCCTGCTGCTCTGTCTGGCTAGCAGGAGTGACCACCAGCTCTAGACATGAAGTGTGCCCTCACGCTGGTTTGTGCTGCCAGCTCAGCTAGGTGTCCTGAAAGACAGCAGTGTGACTGTCACACAGAGGAGGATCAAAATTTGTTTATCTCAACAGGACGACTTGGATGCTACGTTTTTCTCTGCTTCTAAATATGTAACTTAAGCCAGTTTCTTAACGTCTCTGAACCTTAACTTCCTCATTTATAAAAAAGAAAATATCAACACACACTGACCATAAACGGGGCTGTTCTAAAGACTGAGCGAAATAATATACCTGAAAGCCTTTCTTAACTATGAAGCACTATAAAAGTATAAGGTATTTCTTATCATTTGCCCCACAATTCAAATTTATACTGAGGAAGAAGCGATTTTTTAAAGCACAGACTAATTCCAACAGTCTAAGTCAATGGTAGGGACTGGTAAATTACTGAGTTAAGAATCAGGTTTATGCAAAGAATACCTCTACGAGATCTTTCCTCGGTCTCAACTTCAACAGGGGTTCGCTGAGCCGGATGGAGCACATTCCACCCCTCCCTTCATAGCTGCACATCCCAGCACACCTGGAAAACAACCGCCCCCAAAACGTGTTACCTTTACAAACGTGCGCACAAGGGAGAGACACGAGAGCAAACCCTCACCCATTCTTGGGCTCTGCAGAGGATTCCACTGGCCCCATGGCCTTTTTGAAGTGGACCCTCCTGCTTAGCAGACTCCTGCACTTCACCCGAGCCAGGCTGCAACAGCTCAGGGAAGACAGTCCTGTTCTGCTACCCCCAGTCCCCCCAACAAGCTGTCATCCGTCCGCGGTGGTCAGCAAGCAGACCTCCAGGGCGCATCTCCAAGATGACAACGGAACCCCACCGGAGGAGCCCTGACCTTCCAACACGACTGCACGCCCCGTCCTCATCCGTTTTGCACCAGCTCGAGAACCAGCACGGAGGGGACTCTGACTTCACGCCGGCGTCTCTTAAACCCAGTGTGCAGAGCAGGGAGGATCCCAGAGGCATCGCCGGAGACCCCCGGAGACGGGAAGCGCCCCTGCTCGGCGTCCCCTCCCGGGCGCCAGGCACCGCCCGGGTGGAGTCGGGGCCCGCAGCACCCCGTCCTCCCGGAGCCGCGGCGATACTCACAGGGTCATCCGCGCGCTCCACTTCACCTCCACGGCCCCCAGCTGCCCCCAGAAGAACCGGTCGTCGAACTGCACGAACAGGGCCTGCAGGTCCGGGGTGGGGTCCACCAGCTCCCAGGACGCGTCCACCAGCGACGGCGGCGGCGGGGGCGCCCGGTCGCGCTCGGCGGCCTGCCGGTCCCACTCCTCCTGCAGCCGCAGCGCCAGCACCAGGTCCTCCTCCATTGAGCCGCCCGACGACGCCGAGATCCCGGGGCCGGAGAGGGAGGTCAGCATGGTACCTCCGAGGACCAGGAAGGGGTGGGGACGAGGGCGGCCGCCTTCTAGCGGCGCCGCTAACGCCAAGCCCCCCGAGACGCCGGGCGCATGCGCAGTACCTCGTTACCGTGTCCCGCCCGCGCCTCTCTTCCGCGCTGCCTTCTCCAGCGCACGCGCGCCACGCCGCCGGTGCTCCTGCGCAGGCGCGATGCGCGACAGTGGCGTTTCTACGCAGGCGCGGCGCCCGACGCCGCGGCTCGGCGCAGGCGCGGTGGG